AGTTTCCATTATAATCTGATTGGTGTTTGTTTTTTATGTTATTGAATTTTTATGATGATGGGTTGCTTACTTGAGTAAATGGGTATGGGAAAATTTTGTGATGCAAAATGATAGCTCATGTGATATATTGTTCAATTTTTTTGGGGTTAAGCCGAAGAAGGAAGAGCTAGGCAAGAATGATGAATTGCAGCGGTAGAATCGACGGAGATGATGAATTGTAGCAGCATAATGGGGTTAAAGTAATGGGTGTTGGGGATTAAGCCGCTGGCGTGGGATTGCATTTGAAAATTTGGAGGAATTGGAGGAATCGATGGAGATGGAGATGATTGCAGAAGAAGTGAAAAAAAGCAGGGGTCACCGTTGACGGAGAAGATGAATTGCAGTGGAATTGGAGGATTCGGAGGAGTCGACGGAGATGAGAGGCGATGGAGAAGGAATCGGAGATAGAGATGGAGATGATTGCAGAAGAGGCAAAGGGAAGGGGCTGGAAGTAAGAGAACGACGCCGTTTTAGATTGGGACTCCAAATTTTTTTTGGAAGGCAGGACTGATGGCCACTTTACCGTATATAATATATTTATTAAAAATTTATTATTTTTTAATATAAAATTAAAGTCAAATAAACTTAAAAATATAATTATATATACAATATATAAAAATTAATTAAATCGATTATATTTATATTATATTTGAATGATTAAACTAAAAAGATAATAAAATATATATTAAATTAGAAGATATATCAATAATTTTCTTTAAAGTTAAGAGATAATTAATGACAAAATTAATATAAAAAAAAGATCTTTTTCTCTATTAAAATATATAAAAGTATTATTATTTTGAAATAAATTTAAAATAAAAAATTATTTTTCTGGCACCGATAAAGTGTATTTATTAATAGTTGCTGAATTAGAAACTTGGAGTAGAGATGCTGCGTCTAGAGGTTGAGATTCCCAAATCATTTGTATCTTAGACTGCACTTTTATTTGTATTTTATACCCTTTTATTTGATGAGTTCAGTTCTTCTGGGTACGTTATTAATGAATTAATATGGAATGAAATTTTATTAATAGTATTTAGATAATTTTAGTACTTAAAATATACTCTTTTTGTGTAGTCCATGTAAAAAAAAAAAAATTACTTTCATTTTATAACTGAAAATAATATGTCAGAAGTTGTGTACCTGCAGGGCTGCTGATTTAGAAGAAGATATTCACGAAATTGAACACAAAATCAAATTGGGCCAAGCAGATTAGAAGAGAAGCGTACAACAGATCTTGATTGCAATTGCAAACCTGTTCTTTCCGATAAAGAGAGGGTTGATTAATGGATATTTTCTGAAAGAAAAAAAACATGATTTAAATATGATCATTAAGAAATATATATCTCTATATTAATTTACTTAAATTGTCTAAGAAAAAGAAGACCTCGCAAGATTATCAATTAAACGGTTACAAAATAATTAAGTAAAATCAAACAATAGGACAATAAAGAATCTAACAATTTACTTAAAAAAATTAAATATAAGAATATAAAAGAAGCAAATTAATAAAAATATACCTAAAATTTATGTTATTTTAATAACGTTTTAATTAAAAAATATTTTAATTAAATTTGATTTAGAGTATGTTAAAGTTTTCAAAGTAATTAATAATTTCAAAAACATCCAATGGAAATCTCAGGCACAGGACTACACACCGAAGAAAATTTTTTTATTTTTTAATGTAAAAATATGTATACTTTTACATTTTGTACTTCAAAGAGAGTATAATAAAAGGTATGCAATTTTATACTTAAAAGACAGTATAATAAAAGGAATTGCATACCTACAAATCTAAATGAAGATATCGAAGAAATTAGACATTGAGAAAGAAATTAAGCACATGAAATTAGAAGATAGCATACAGCAAGAGAGTTTTGATATTTCATTTTATGATCAATATTTTAAACAAAACACAATAAAATCAAAATTAAAAATATAGATAACAAGATACATGGTGTACCTTCTCCTTTAGTCGTAGAAGATAAAATTGAAGAAATTAAGTTAGACATTAATTAACCAAATTAGCTAGGTCAAGCAAATTATCAAAGAAAACATAAACAGAATCAAAGACTAATGAAGATCTAAATGGATAGTGTATACCTACAGGTTTAGAAAAAGGTGGACACTGATAACTAACTTAGACCGAGCAAAACAAATTACTAGAAGTAGCAGCAGGTTCAATTTGTTTATTCATAGTCTAAAGAGAACATATATATAACAAAATCGAGATTGAAGATCCAAATAGCAAGAGAGTGTACCTGCAGCTAGCAGAAAGGAAGTTGGACAGTGATGACAAAGCTGATTCAATTGGAAGTATCAATTGCAAGACGGATTCTTTCTGATTCCGAGGAGAGAAGTTGATGGAGCCAATTATGGAGAAGAAAGAACTTGAAGTAGGAGGCAAGTTAATGCGAAAGTCAAGAGGATATTTCCAGGAACGAAGATGCGTGGCAATTAGCAACCACTCAATTGTGGATGAGGATGCGCAGTCATCATCAAGAAATTCCGTCCTATACTCCAAAATAGTATATAAAATTACATAATTACCTTCGCACAGCCCTCTCAATTCTTCGTCTTTGATCCCCCACCTCTCCCCTAGCCTCTCTCTTCCATACTTTCTTTTTCTTCTCAAATTGAGTTGTAAAAAATCTCTACGAAACAATAACCCATGAGAAATTTGTGTTAATTGTTGAAGCCAAACAGAGCTGGATAAGCAATTCGCTCCGGTCGTTGAATGGCATTGAAATGGATCTGGCATTGGCATTGGCATTGGCTTCCATGGCAGCCGCTATCATAGTTGAGGCCAAGAAGCAAGAGAAACCGAAAATCAATCGTGGGTATCAAACCCAGATCTGGAGATAGAGTGAGAGAGAACCGACCCGAGGGACCAGATCTGAAAACCAGGGCATGGATTGAGAGGGAAAATGGAGAAAATGTGAGAAGATTCGAAAGGAGAAAGGAGGCTGGGTTCAGAAAGAGTCCCCTAGCCTCATGAATACAGGAACAGAGAGAAGGAAAAAGATTACAATCCAGGGAAAAAGAGAAGAATCAAGAGCCTTTGGAAGAGAGAGGAGAGCACGCAGAGGGAATTTGAGAGGGATAACCTTCAATCAAATGACAATGCGATAACTTTCCCTATTAGTTTTGTAGGGGACTCGAAGTGTGTCTCTGATTCTTCAAGTGCTCTTTTAAGTCTACTGAAATGACGAGTTCAGTGATATCCTCTGAGAAAAGCATGGTAGACTTAGTTGATTTTAAGAGCATGTCCTCAAGGGAATCCCTTTTTGTTGAGAATTCAAATGAAAACTCATCTGACACTGTATCTTTGCGTAGCTCTGATGATTTGGGTCGGTTTTTTTCTCTTATGGTGCTACCACCTTCACCATCAACCAGAATTTTGCCCCAGAAGAACATGGTGTCAGAGACGAGATTAACTTCCTCCACCAGTGTCCGGTCATTGGACTTAATTGATTCAAGTGCTCCTAGGTCTACTGAAATTTCATGTTCAGTTGTATCTTCTGAGAAAAACATAGTAGAAACAGCTGGTTTTTCAAGCAAGTTCCCGTTAAGTGGATCCTTTTTGCTCGAGGATTCAAATGAAAACTCACCTGCAAGAGAAGTATCTTGTCATAGCACTGTTGATGTGGCTGGGTTTGTCTCTCACACTGTTCTTCGATCTTCACTGTCAAGTGCAACTTTATCTGGTGTCCTGTCATCAGAATTAATTGGTTAGTATATCTAGACTCAAATGTAATGGAAACACTCTTGCTTTCCTTCATGGTTGATTTTCATTTCACATGTATATTGGTTCTATCAGTGTTATTGTCCCAGCACAGTACTAGGTCTGTGTTGCATGCATTTTAAACTCATATATCCTGTATTGCATGTATGTTAAACTCATATATCCCGTGTTTTGACTTTTGACTTCTTTTGTAATAAGTCACTAGTTTTCAATCAAGCTTAAGGGACAAAATAAACAGCTCAATGGCCATTCGACCACTATAATAGAAGTGAAATTGCCAAATATGTGTTATTTAGTGTATGCATGAGATAATTTTACTTATTTAACTGTGAAGTTCGGATTGCATTTAGGAGGAGATATTGTTCTCTCTTCTATAAACCGCAGTTTACCCTCTTGTCTTTGATCTCTTTCTTTGGTTAATTCTTCTTCCCTCTCCTTTTTTTAGGTATTTGGCATTGATAACTCTAGCTTATTCAATATGTAACTATTTGACTGAGACTTTATAGCATAAAATATTCCCGGGTTTATACTAATGTATATTTTGGATGTTTTGCAGTTTAACTGACTTGAAAATTTTCTACAGGGCTATCAGATGACTCCAATGTTGTGGTTAGTATTTCTCCCATGGAAACCATTGCCTTGTGTGACAATGCGAAGCTTGAGGATAGCTGTGTCTGTGGAAAATACTGCGCTTCATGCTGTCTCCTGTACACTCAGGAATAACAGATCATACAAGGTGCATACCAAGTCTAACATAGAAGAATAAGCACCGAAGAGAGTAGTTTTAATAAGGGATGCATTTGATTAAGCTTCCCGTGTGTAATTCACCTTACATGTAGTCTATCCTAATTCATAACCTCAGTTTATTAATAAGATATGCTTTTGTCTTCTATTTAACCAGCAAATGTTCTGGGATGCCTTAACTACAAAAAAGAGTTTAGCGAAGGGGTATGAGCAGCTTGCAATTTGGTTTGGAGATGCTGAAATAGGGTCTAACAAAGAATCTATGCAAAGTCTTCTTCCATATACAACTGCCACAACTATGGGGTGTGAAAATTTGCAAACAGAAGCTGAAGGTGAATCCGGATGGGAACTTTTGTAAATAATTGTAGAAGGGGGTTGCTGCTCAATGTTACTGGATTCAACCACATGTCTCATGCTTGTGCAGGCAAAATCATCGTACCTTGAATAAACAAACATGGTAGGTGAAATGTCTATTGAAAGAACCGTTTCATAAGTGGTAAAAACATTGCAACTTGTTCATGGCATTTTTGGTTTGCACTTTTCTCTCATATTGTTACCACTGCCAAACATATCAATTTTCTCTTTCTGAAAAGAATAGGATGAAAATTACTCCTTTTTTTCATATGATTGTATCAGATATCTTGATTTTACATTCCTTATTTGCAAACACCCTCCCAAGGTGGAGAGGGGATTGTAGCTGAGCCAACTTTTGTGCTAGCAAGTTACATTACGCTTTAGATGCTGGAAACATAGAGAAACAGAATGGAATTTCTTAGCTCGAAGTTCCTCCACAGTTGCTCCAAAGGGAAGATAACAATCATTGTTTGACATAGCTACTTGTATGGCTTGAACACAATTTGATTCAATGATGACATTGCTGTGTCCAAATTCTCGGCCCATCCCCAACGCAAAATCAAATAGCCATAACCTCAGCTTCAAGAATTGATCCTTGAAACCTACAAGTTCTTTGCACAGCTCCTATAACTTTCCTGTCACGGTTCCTAAGGACAACTCCAAACCTGGCTATATGCCTTGCGCTTGTCATATTGCTGCATCATGATTGATCTTAGTGGAATCTCCTAGAGCAGGTTGCCATGATACCATAGGTTGCACATTCCTTCCTTATCTCTAATCTGGTGTCCTTCCTCCCCAGTGCTTCTCTATTCAACAATGTATGCAAAGATCCTTTTTATATTCTAATCCCGAACTTTGATCTCTAGTTATTATAAATGTCATGAACTATACTTCTTGATGAGCAAACTAGATCCAGCTCCCCAGTATATGATGCTTCTTAAATTGGATGTGTCTCACCGAAGCATCTCATGGCTGCCTGGCTTCCATTCCCAGCTCCTGAAAAATGCAGCTATAATCATTATCTTCTTAATTTTGGAATTTAGGATGTTTGTTTCTTAATAGAAGACAGCAAGTGGAACATACCACAGATCTGTAATGGACATAGTCACGAAGAAGACCGTCTGAACTGAAGGACTGATGTTGGATTCTAACTAATCTGCCAGGTTTCCACAGCTGAAAACCAAAAAACTGAAAACCTGAGAAGAAAGTCAGAACAACCTGTTGGATTCCAGAATGTATGCTCAAAATAATAACTTGCTCTTACAGCACAAAAATCAGAAGAATTTCTGCTAAAAAAAAAAAAAAAACAGAAGAATTTGGATGGAATCAGAAGCCACAGATGGAAAATTGGATGCTTACCTAGCATCAATCTTAGGCTGACATAGCCCTCAAACACCCTCACATCAACTCCTTCCTAGGTCTTTGCCAGTTTTGGCTTTGGCATCAAGGTTCACCAGCTGCCTCAAGACAGTATGACTTTTTGCATGGTTTGAATAAGACTCCACAATGAAGGGCTCCCAATAGTCCTCAGTTGATGCATTATACTCCTAAAAGACATTTCAAAAGCTAGAATGCTGAGGTCAAGTGTCTAACACGGACACTTTAAATGCTTAATAAGTTACTCCTTAAATTTAAAAGCATTCGAACCATTGTAGATTTATTAGAATAAGTGAAGAATTTGAGTAACATACGAAAGGAGGATAGGCAGAAAATTTATGGTACCTCAGCATTGAAGATCTTCATGGGAATAATTCCATGAAAAAATTTTCTTTCTCCTCAGGAATCATGGATTGCACCAAACAAGACATTGCCTCAAATTGGTTCTCTGCACTGAATCTATGAACATCCATCTTTTGCTCCTTAAGATGTCCAACAGCTTCAGTGGATCAAAACTAAGACACAAAAAAGACATTTCAAATGCCTTGAAACCATATGAAACCAAACGCCCCCTTTACAACCCTTAGAAAAAGGGACCCTGATTTAAACAACCAAGATGACTGGGAATCATGTCCTTTTGGATAGCACACATAATATAAAAAATAACTTTCCTTGGTAGTTGGGGTGAATCAGGCTGTCACCTCCAGATTTCATATAGACTGTAAGATAGTGAATCAGGCCTCATGTTGTAGATTAAGTAGAATTAGATTTAATATAACATCCAACTAAAAGAAAGATTGAGATTTAATGGAGAGGGATGGCTAGCCAGGAGAAGTAGAAACTTCATTCTGCCCAAATTAACTCTCTTAAAGAATGATGAGATATTGCCTTGCTTGGAATCTGTCACTTTCCCCGCTTTCTTTTGGTCTCCTGCTTTGCTTCGGAGATAAGGAGTAGCGCTACCTACTACAAGAGACTTCTTGGCTACAAGTGGCCTGCATTGAATGATGAAACCATAAGGAATGCGGTTGTTAGGCTCTAGATTGCTCACAATCTAAAATAAGCATAATGGAGTCAAATAAAATTACAAAGCCTTCAGTCAAGTACACTAGCCAGAAAAAGGCAAAAAAGATTGTTAAAAGCACTCCATAGTTGTAAAGCCCAAATGAATGCAGTTAATTCAACTAAGAAGCAAAAATTAACATATGTCTGAAGTTGGAGAGGATTTATACCAGTTTCAGAAAGCAGAATTTCATTCTTGGTTGGAGAGGACTTTTAACTGTTTCTGCTTTTGCTGATGACTTTTGGATCAATACTTGACAACTGTTTGGCGGGGTAGGGTGATGCTAAATTGATGGCATTTTCATACTTGTCTACACCCGATGAATCCAAAACCACCATCCATTCTTGTTGGCTTCACCTTTAGAATCTTTACTAAAATTAAGATCATCAGCTGGTGCTCAGCTGGATTTCAACTTTGCAGAAGCACAATCGCATTAGTTTGCTAATGAACCTACACCTCCAAAAGAGCAAAATAATTAGTTAAGGAATGTCCAATAAATTCTGATAGCAGCCATAAATGTAATTCAAAATACCACCATAGAATTTTCTTTATTAGCAAATAACAATATATGGGAAGATAAGCACTTCAAGAGGCGAAAAACTTGAAAGGAAGTTGTGATCTCCAAAAGAAAAATGTTCTGCTAGAAGATAGCCAGAGGCAGAATCAACTTCCAAATTCTCAAAAAATCTAAAATTAAATAACCAGAAAAGGCCTACCCATTATCTCTTAAAGAATTTTCAATATTTGAGGTTTGCTACTCTAGGAAAACTCTTGAAGCCTGGAAAAATTTAGCATTCCTGAGTGCAGTTCACAATTCTTTGCAATGCATCCTTGAACACTGTACACCTAAACTGAGCTATTGCCATCAAATTCTTGCTTAGCTTCTGCAAGAAATTCAGGGAAGAAATTATCACATTACTGCTTTGCTATAGAATTCAAAAAATTCCATTTATGATAGCAAGAGAATTCATCAACAATCATGAGTTTGTCTCCATTCTTGTGGGTTGTGAATGTGAACTTCAACTACATTCTTCGAGAGGAAATATGTTCACCTCTTTTCAACATTTCATGAATCCAAAAGGTTGCAACTCAGTTGCTTGTAGGAAACCTGAAAATGATACTAACTATATCGGAAATTTATCTTGTACGAACCTTTTAGCTTAAGAACATGAAAAGCATATTATATTACAATTGGAGGTGAATAATATTAATTTTGAAGAGTCAAAGTACAAATAGAGATAGAAAATGAAGACAGCAAAATTGACACTTACTACTTGGAGTTCATCAAGGACTAGAACCTGGATCTCTTCTAGCCAATTGCCTACCAATTGTGCTAAAATCTGCATTTTGAAGGGGCTCAATTTCAGCCATACAAACCCAAAAATCAATTTATCTATAATGAAAAAAAGTACAAAGCCCTAATGAAAATTAAATAAAATTCTTAGTCAAAAAACTTACTACTTAGGGTTTATGAGAACTGAGTACTTTTCTGTTATGGATTCCTAGACAGGAACTCCCTTTTCTGTTCACTTCAATCTACAGAAATTGTTTCCCTTTCAGTAACTAAAACAATCAAGGATTGCAAATGATAGAAAAGTAAATGAAATGAACAAAAAAAAAAAACTTGCAAGAGTGGAAAAAGGCAGTGGAGTGTTGTCAAGTGTTCTCCAGTAGTCAAGTCAACAAAGCAAATATGAAAGGTAAATATTACAAAAATTTAAGATTTCAAATTGATTTAACAGATTGAGTATATGAAGCACCAGAGAAACAAGAGTAGAAATCCCATAACATATCATGTGCTTAACAACTTACAACACAAACAAATTACCAAAAGAAACAAAACCAAGTTCACCCAATACAATTCAAAAAAGACATAAATTGGTAAAAAAAAATCAAACATTATTGTCAATGACATCAAAGACTAGTGGCAGTGGGTGAGTCCAATCCCGTTTTCTTTTGCTTTGCTGTTCCAACGAGAGAAGTTGCCTTTGCTTGAGAAAAGATCCTACAAACAAATAGCAGAGCTTTAAATCATGTTGAGAAATCTGGAGCCAACAAGAGATATTTAAGGAAGTGATCTTATAGGAATTGATTCCATACTACCAACCTGGTTTGCAAGATGTTGAGAAATCTCAATATACCAAAAAATAAATAAATAAATAAATAAAAAGAAACATTAACGTTCCAATCGCAAACATTAGCCAATCTCATCACCCACGATTTTGTTACTACCCAAACCCAAAATCCAATTTCAGCGAGCCATACATACCCAAACCCAAAAACTAATTTCTATATAAATGGAATGAAAGTATAAAACCAGAAAATAATAATGATCCAAGTCAAAATATGGATACTTACATGGTTGGAGTTTATGAGATAGCACAGTAGTGCAGAGGGTGAAGGGTGGATGCATCTCAATCTCAATCCCAATCTCATCTCTTCCACAATACAAAGGCTTTCCCATGTCAGAAGCACTTTTTGCATTGTCCTCGTTGTGGAGTACTGGAAGGAGGGGTTTTATTGGCACGTGTTATGGACTCGCACGTGACTTGTTTACCAACCACTGAAAAATTGAAGATTTGTCAACAACTCCCCTTTCAGATGAGACGATAAAAATTTAAAGCAACAAAACAAATTAAATTCAAATTAGAATAAATCAATCAACCCCTTACCTCCATTCACGAAATGGAGTAAATTTCAAGAAGGGTTGGAGTATGTTCTTAGCGTTAGGATGATTCAACTCAACCACTGATTCCCACCATTCTTTTGACTCTTCATCTATCCCTATTTTTTTGAGAAAACGAGGAGGAGATGGCTCGCCATTGTCAAGCAGAGGAAGCTGTAAAGGGAACCTCTTTAACTTCGGACATTGAATTATTTGAATTTCTTCAATAGAATCACAAACCATAACACCTTTGTCACCACAAATGCTCTTCAATTGGCCTAATTGCACCAAGATCAATGTCCTTAAATTAGGAAAAGTGAAAGTGAATTTATTCGATGATGATGCATCTGAATCTGATGATGCTATTATCTCCTCCATTTGTTCGCATCCCCTAAATTGAATGCCCTCTAAGTTTTGGAGGGCCTGCAGCAGCTCAAGTGGAACCAAGTTCCTCATTGCTGAACAAAATCTTATCCAAAGATATTTAAGATTGGAAAAGATCTGCGGTGGTGTTACTACTCCTTCCACTCTCACAAGTACACTCAAGTTAGACGAGTCATGAAGGCTCAAGTCTTCGAGCTTATTCAGTAAGGAGGAAGAGGATGAGTCCAACTCAACTATGCACTCTATCCCTTCAAAATCTTCAATAAAACATCTTCTCAACTCGGTTGCATTTTCTAACAAAACTGTTTTATTTAAGCTGCATCTCATGTTTTTCATGTTTTTACAGTTACAGATCCACAAACCCTCAAGAGTATCTGGAAGCACTATACATTCTTCTCCAATCTCACAGTCATGAATAGAAACCTTACGTTGATGGAAATCAAAAAATCCACCACGTCCGATCTCTCCTTCATCTCTTGTCAGTCGAAATTCATAAGCCGTAAGATTGTCAAAATCTTTAGACTTATTAACAAGATAGTTGAAGTCTTGGACCTCCATTCTACATTCCAAACTCTCCAAATTGCTCAAGCTAGCAGCCTCTTCTATATTTATCCTTCTAGTAATTTCGCCGCTTGGATATACAACCAAGTACTGGAGACTGGAAAGGTTAGGAAATATTCCCGTTGGAATCTCTTTCAGATTTTGACAACTTAAATCAAGATATTCAAGACTTCCCAACATCTCCATGCCTTGAGGGACCACCTCTATCCCTACCATACACAGATCCAACTTCTTCAATGCCCTGAGCTTTGCTAAGGAAGGCAAGTGCTTTAAGCTCCTACACTCCCTCAACCGCAGTGCAAAGAGATTCACCAAGTTAGAGATGGAATCAGGTAAAGCTTTAACACCAGTACCAGCAAGATCAAGAACCTTAAGTCCGACCATACTTTCAAAAAAGGAACTTGGAATCTCTGACAAAGTAGGATTATTTGACAATATCAAAGTTGACAGCAACGGACTCTTTGGGGACAAACCAACAGGAATCTTTGAAATGTCATTTGCCATTAGAGATACCTTCTTAAGATCTCCTTCCCACTTACTTTCATTCGGTACCTTATTCAATTTAATGCCAGCTTTTACCATATATCCACATCCAAGACCAATGCTTTTGATAGCCATGTCTCTCACAACATCATGCATCTTAACTGTAATTCCAACGCATTCCTCTAATAAGCAATTCTGTAGAAGCCTATTTAAAAAAGCACGGCCCCGATCATAAGCTGCTTGTCTACTTCCCAACTCATCAACCACAATCAGTCCTTCATCAATCCAATCTTCAATCAAGTTCTCTCTAAAAAACTCATAATCTTCCCGAAACAAAGAGCAATACAGAAAGCATTCTTGGATTTGCAAACTTCTTAGACGGTCATAACTAAACCTTAACCGTCCAAATATCTCATCTTCAACACATTTCACACTTCTTACACATTGGCGTAATTCATTTAGGGCATTTCTCCACTCGGCAATGTCATATTCTCCCTTCATGCTCCCTGCTATTACAACAATTGCCAGTGGCAAGCCGTCGCACTCCTCCACAATAAGCTTCAAGGTTTCTTCCAATCCTGAAACTTTTTGTAAAACATCACGCCCAACCCTATCTAGGAATAGGCTTAGAGACTCCTGTGGTGAAAGAGGCTGCACTTTAACAATCTTACAATCCAAATAATTGCATACTTCAACTGATCTACTAGTGATAACCACTTTGCTCTTATTCTGCACTGGTTCCGGGATTCCAACATCCGTGAGAGAAAACTTATCCCATACATCATCTAATATTAGCACAAAACTCTTACTTCCCATTATATCCATTAGTGCTCCTGCCCGAATCATCTTTTCTTCATCTTCTGGAAGTGTTTTGCCCATAGCAAGTGCAATCTTCTTTTGTAGTTCTAAAACATTGAGAGGGTATGATACAGTAACCCAAATCACTTTCTGAAATCTGCCATTGCTCAACAAAGCATTGTTAATGTGCTTCACAATTGTAGTCTTACCAACTCCACCAATGCCACAAACTCCGATCATTCCAACTTCATTACCCATCAAGTACCCCCAAATTTCATCTTTAGTAGAAATCTCACCCTCTAAATTTTCTGTTGGAATTACAGTTCCACAAGCCGGAGCTCTCTCAATACCAAGGCCTCCTTCGAAAATGCCCCTCTCTTGAATCCTCTTCACCACTTCAATTTTTCCACGCACAAGTTTATCAAGACTGGCACGTCCGTAGTATGGAACTGTGCCTACTCTTTCTTCAACCCCTTGTATGTCTTGTTCGATCTTTTGAACATCTTCAAGCCATCCTTCTACTTCTTTTTTCACCTCCTGGTCCGAGTGAACCTCTACCTCTGCTTGTATTCTTGAATTAACGTCAGTTTTTCTCCACTTTAGAACCTGCCATTCGCTTCTCAACTCCTCCAGATCTTCTTCAAGTTTTCTGTGGTGGCCTACTAAATTCTCAACTTTCTCAGCAATTTTGTCCACCATGCTATCCATCGATGAATTTCCTAAAATGTAACAGTAATGCCGTTAAATTTATTTCTTACGCGAAATAAAAGAAAAATGTAACAAACAATGATAACTTATGCACAACTTTAATATAAAAATCAAGAATTACAAACATAAAAATAAGGACTTAATTTTTTCACAAAATTTTAATAAATGATGTGAATTTTCTTCTTTAATAATTAAAATCATCACTTTTTTAAAATTTTTAATTAAAAATATGATATTTGTGATGGCACTAATTAGGGTTATTACTTTTTAAAATTTTTTAATAAAAAATATGATCATGTCCATCGATCCACTTAATTGTTTTTTTGTAAAGTTATAAATATCATTTGATTATAAATTTTTGAAAGACGATAGTCGTAATTAATAGTTAAAAATATATTATATTCTTAATTAGAAAAGTTGTGAGAGGTAGTGTACTTATTTGTGGAATGAGAAATCTAACAAGAAATGAAGCTTCATATCATTAAAAAGGAAAAAAAATGAAATGAAGCTTCTTTTCTCTTTTGTAATAATTAAGCCCATGGATCTACATGAAAACTATTAGATATTTTCAATTTATTTACATAAACTCTAATGAGATCGAACGTATATATCAAAATCAAGATTGAAAGTTCAAAGATAGCTAGTGTACTGTGTACCTGGGGCAGGTTTAGCAGAAAGAAATTGAATGAAGTTGGACACTGATACCAGAACAAAGCCAAGCAAATTAGAAGTAGCAACAGCTTGATTTTTTCTTATGAGAACAGATTACTTCTGCCTCGAGTCAACGAGAGAGCCAATTGAAGGATATAATTAATATTTGGATATAGATCTTCCTCAGATGGTGCAGGAAACCTGGTCAACAAATAATAAAGCTATTTTAGGGGGTGAGAAATCCAAATTAATGCTATAAGAGATGAAAGAGAAAAGGCGCAAAAGGAGCTTCGAGCCGATACTTTAAATGCGAATTGCTGATTGGTGAACAAAAATCAAAGCATAAATAAACCAAAAAAAAAAGGAGCTAAATTTAGAGTGGATCAAAGGTTTCAAGTAATATCGGGTTAGCTTGCTGCTCCCACATAAGTAGAGAGCAATTATCTTACTAGACTAAGTTTTAGAGATTTTTCATTTTCAATTAAGGGGATGAATATTTGTAGTGTTGTGTTTGAGATGGTTTTTACCACTTGTTTTAAAATTTAGATCAAATAAGTCAGATTAACCAGTTCGACAAGACTGGTGTAAAAAATAGACAATGATATGGAGATAATTTTTTTGTCTTATTTTTTTTAAAAATTTTTACGTGTTATTAAATGCAAGTAATTAAATGAATAGATGCATTTAATAACACATGTATCATTTAAATAAAATAGTTAGTTATTTTAATGATAAGTAAAATTATATAAAAAATGATATAAAAAAATTATTTCTAAATTAATTTCCTATTAAAAAAATAGTTTGAATTAAGATATTAACCTAATAGTTGTCAAAATTTGGTGTGGTCAACCCCTAGTCAGATTCAGCCAAACCCAATTAAACTTGGTCAAATCTAATAAAATCTGGTCAATCCAAACTGGTTCGTTT